TGCACTTCCTCTCTAAAGAGGAAGGATTTATTACAGTTTTAAATCTGAGCACATTCCTTTCTTTTCCTCTGGTTTCTGCATGTAGGTAGAATGTTCTTAAACAGTCCCAAGCAGCTTTTTTTCCAGTTGAAACTCTCTTTGCCCTCCCTCCAGCAGGTGTGGCTCACAGTTGTCTTTGGCTCTGTGAAATGAACAGTTCTGAGCACTAAGTAAATATATTGCTGAATTAATCTTTGTTCTGTTTGTATGCTGAAGTGTATTTGGTTCCATCACTTGACACACAGCACATTTTGGGTGACTAGCTCTTTAAACACCTACTAATTTCTACTGTGTTTTTCATTGAATTGTAGCATGAACCAATTAATTCTCATTTATTCTTCCTGTTAGAAGAGCACCAGCTCATGATCATTTGTTTTAATGTTGACCTCTTCTGTTTCAAAACCATGGTCATGTAAACCAAATTCCACTCCCTTCCTTTGACTCCAATACTGACCTTTCTAGGTAGCTAATAACCAGACATTTCAGTAGCCCACTTGTCTTCCATGTTTTTCAGCGACATCCAGTACATTAAATGTGTGTTCCACAATAAACACTTCTAATTTCTTGTGGTTATAATCCAGGCTCCTGATGTGCAAGACAAAGAAGTTATTCTTCTGTTATTATGTGGTATCTTGTTTAGGTTTGCATTTTATTTTCCTCATTCGCCTTTCTTTTTTTTTAATTTTAGAGTTTTTGAGACACTTGCAAAATTACAGCATTTCACATAGTTGCTTGGCTGCCACTCCACATAAGTCAAAACTGAATCCTGCAGAAAAAAAATGGGAAGATTTACAAAACCTGATAGCTTATCAGCTAGAGAACAGGGACTTGACAGACCTAGTACTCTAGATTCAGAGATTGTGCAATAATACTTCCAAAGTTCCTGTTACACAACGAAGGTAAATTTCAAGAAAAGATTTTTAGGAAGTGGCTTCAGTTTCAAGTCACCCATGTGCCAAAGGCACTTTGTCCTGTAACAGAGCTGTGACCTGGCCCACTGTCAGGTCGTGCATCTCAGATTGTTTGACACTTCAGTATCCTTGTCCTACCTAATGTGTGAAGGCATTCCTTCACCTCTGTAGCCAGGGAGCACACAACAGCCCTTATGGCTCTTCAGGCTCATGCAAAGCCCAGACATCTTCAGACTTTCTGTGGCTGATAATTAGAATCATAGAATCATAGAACAGTTTGGGTTGGAAGGGACCTCTAAAGGTCATCTAGTCCACCCCCCCTGCCGTGGGCAGGGACATCTTCAACTAGATCAGGTTACTCAGAGCCCCGTCCAGCCTGACCTTGAATGTTTCCAGGGATGGGGCATCCACCACCTCTCTGGGAAACCTGTGCCAGTG